GTCCCCCTGGCGGACGTGCGCGAGGAGTTTCCTGACTGTGAGCATTTTGAACGGTCTCTTCATGAGCGCTTTGTTCAAAGCCCTGAGATCTAAGATCGGCCTGAGGCCGCCGTCTTTCTTGGGGACCAGAAAATAACGGCCGTAAAACCCCGACTCGGTCATAGATGGCGGGACTCTCTCTATAGCGCCCTTCTGCAGTAGCTTGGCTATTTCTAAGCGAAGCGTGTTCATAGCAGCCGGGCTGACAGTGGATTCGAGCCGCACGCGCGAGCGTGGCGGGCGGCGACGAAACTGTAATCGATAACCATTCTTTATTATGCTTAAAACCCACGGGGAGATGCCGGGGATGGCTTCCCACGCTTTGTAGCATACGGCTAGTGGTTGAATGGCGATTTCGCCCTGATTGCTGCACATTGCGGGCTGGACACTGGGTGTGGGCTCGCTTATAATGTGGAAGGCAACGGGACTTACACTCAGAGAGGAGTTTAAGGGCCTTGAGACAGAGCGGGCAGAGGGGGGACACGCGCACGGGCTCGTGGGCGTGCTTATGTTCTCTGCTGCTGGAGCGGAAAGTGCACGCTCCGTGAGAATGGGCTCTGCGAGAGACCCTGGGCATAAAGTGCTTGTGTGTGTACGTGAGCACATGGTTGTGGGCACATTTTTTACACTTGAGGCTTTTATGCTCTTTTTGTGAACTCTCTGGGTAGCCGTGAAAACGGCTTTTAGTCGCTCGCAAGCGGGCAGGGAAACCGGCTTGTTTGTGGCGGTAAACACTACTGTAGTCAGCGGTGAGACGGGGACTAACAGTGGGCGAAGCTTTGACGGCGGTCCGGCCGCAGCGGGAGAAAACCGTCTTTTTCTCAGCTGTGCTAGGCAGACTTCTGTTGATCAGGCTTCAGCGTGATCTTGGGTCGAGGCCCCCGGGGCGGAGGCTGTCTGCGGCGGCTGTCTGAGCGAGAGCGAGGGCGGCCGCCCTGTCTACGCTGGGGCTGCTGAGCTTGCTGAGGCGGGCGCTGCTGTGTGGTTCTGGCAGGCGGCTCGTGAGAACGGCCCGTCGAAGAACTCGAGCGGCGGGGCAGGAACAAGTTCATGGCCTGAGTCGCTTTTTGAACTTCGGAGAAGCGGTCAACGATGCCCGTGACGGCGGATCCGAAGAGCCCGGTGGGGGAAATAGGCGCGTTGAGGAACGCGGCACGTTCTGACTCTCCCATGTCGGTCAGCGTGAGCCATAAGTGTCTCTCGGCGACACAGAGGGCGGCCATGCATCTCCCTAGAGCTTGTGCGGCGGCTTTAGTGGCGCGAAGGGAAAGATCCGTAGCGCTTCTCAGATCCGAAAGGACGAGCGGTTGCCTCCCGCTGCTCGCCATTTCACACAAGATGTCGCTCTGGAGCACCTGGAGGACAGACATCGAATGCAGCGCTGAAGCGGCCTGACCGGCGGCGGAATAGGCGCGGGCATGAAAGTTGGAGGTCGCTCTGCACGCTTTTGAGGGAAGCGTATGAGCAGACCGCCATCTAGCAGAGGGCGGGCAGAGATGAGCGGCGACCGAGTCCTCGACGGGCGGCATGGCAGTATAACCCTTCTCGGCAGCTCCGTCCACTGAGCGCAGCGAAGCGGACACATCAGAGCGATTACGAGCCGAGAGAGGAGCATTCCAGGACTTCGTGAGCTCGCTGTGAAGCTCAGGCAGGAAGGGTGCAGCCCGGCTGCAAGCGGGGGCCGGGCGCCGGTGCAGGAACTTTCCATCCATGCGGTTCGGTGGTTGCTCAGGGGGAGGAGACCACTCGAGACCCAGGCGGCTAACGGCCTGAGAAAGGAGGCGCGTTAGTTCCTCCTCGATGCCGGCGCGGGTCCCCGCAGACTCTCTAGTCGATGAGCCGATCGACGACCAATCCTCGCTGTCCGAAGCGTGCAGCGAACAAGAGTCCTTCTCATCCGCGGTGTCCTCGGAGGCGACAGAGCGGCCACTCGGCGGCAACTGTAAGTCCGGCAGGGGCGGAGAGGGAGAGCGGTCGGTGGGCGGCGGCGGCGGCCCACATGGATCCGCAGAGGGCTCCGGCGGCCTCTGGGAGCGGCGTTTCTTCTTCCGCGGCGAAGTTAGAGGCGGCGCTGGAGCGGTTTTGACCGCCTGTAGTCGAGCCCGCAGGGTTGACAGCGGCAGGTCCTCGCAGTGGTCGCATCCTCCGTTGGCGAGGGCGAGTTCTGCGTGTTCCACTCCGAGGCAGAGAGCGCAGATGGGGTGGCGGTCTCCATCCTCGAGCGGAGAGCGGCAAGAGCCGCAGGAATTACGAGGCATCTTTAAAAAGACGCTCGTGCTCTTTTAGCAGGAATAATAAAGAAAGGATACGCGTCGGATGGCGCTAGCTTGCTGGGCGGCTGAAGGTGGCAGACGGCCGGCTTCCTCAGACTCCGGAGCTCGCTAGACGGTGCCTTCTCAACGACGGCGGCTTCTTCCCAGAACAGCGGATGCGTGTAGCTCGCTGAATGAACAAGAATCAACGAACGAGCTGGGAGAGCGACCTTTATACACTGTAGCCACGCCCCTTTTGGCGGGCTGTGACGCAGTAAGCGAGCGCCGTCCGCTCATTGGCCGCGGACTCAGCGCCGCTCTCCCATAGGTTCGTGCATTCTCTCTGAGCGATCCAATGAGCCGCTAGCTAGCCCGCTCATGGTCTGCCTCAGAAGAGACTGCGTTGACAATGATTACAAAATTATGGAATAATTTTTTGGCTTCAACTTCTCAGCAAAGATGAATCTTTCCCGTAGCGTAAGCTAGCTTACGCAATACGAGAGAACCTCTCGTAAGAGAACGGCTTTTAGTCGCTCGCAAGCGGGCAGGGAAACCGGCTTGTTTGTGGCGGTAAACACTACTGTAGTCAGCGGTGAGACGGGGACTAACAGTGGGCGAAGCTTTGACGGCGGTCCGGCCGCAGCGGGAGAAAACCGTCTTTTTCTCAGCTGTGCTAGGCAGACTTCTGTTGATCAGGCTTCAGCGTGATCTTGGGTCGAGGCCCCCGGGGCGGAGGCTGTCTGCGGCGGCTGTCTGAGCGAGAGCGAGGGCGGCCGCCCTGTCTACGCTGGGGCTGCTGAGCTTGCTGAGGCGGGCGCTGCTGTGTGGTTCTGGCAGGCGGCTCGTGAGAACGGCCCGTCGAAGAACTCGAGCGGCGGGGCAGGAACAAGTTCATGGCCTGAGTCGCTTTTTGAACTTCGGAGAAGCGGTCAACGATGCCCGTGACGGCGGATCCGAAGAGCCCGGTGGGGGAAATAGGCGCGTTGAGGAACGCGGCACGTTCTGACTCTCCCATGTCGGTCAGCGTGAGCCATAAGTGTCTCTCGGCGACACAGAGGGCGGCCCTGCATCTCCCTAGAGCTTGTGCGGCGGCTTTAGTGGCGCGAAGGGAAAGATCCGTAGCGCTTCTCAGATCCGAAAGGACGAGCGGTTGCCTCCCGCTGCTCGCCATTTCACACAAGATGTCGCTCTGGAGCACCTGGAGGACAGACATCGAATGCAGCGCTGAAGCGGCCTGACCGGCGGCGGAATAGGCGCGGGCATGAAAGTTGGAGGTCGCTCTGCACGCTTTTGAGGGAAGCGTATGAGCAGACCGCCATCTAGCAGAGGGCGGGCAGAGATGAGCGGCGACCGAGTCCTCGACGGGCGGCATGGCAGTATAACCCTTCTCGGCAGCTCCGTCCACTGAGCGCAGCGAAGCGGACACATCAGAGCGATTACGAGCCGAGAGAGGAGCATTCCAGGACTTCGTGAGCTCGCTGTGAAGCTCAGGCAGGAAGGGTGCAGCCCGGCTGCAAGCGGGGGCCGGGCGCCGGTGCAGGAACTTTCCATCCATGCGGTTCGGTGGTTGCTCAGGGGGAGGAGACCACTCGAGACCCAGGCGGCTAACGGCCTGAGAAAGGAGGCGCGTTAGTTCCTCCTCGATGCCGGCGCGGGTCCCCGCAGACTCTCTAGTCGATGAGCCGATCGACGACCAATCCTCGCTGTCCGAAGCGTGCAGCGAACAAGAGTCCTTCTCATCCGCGGTGTCCTCGGAGGCGACAGAGCGGCCACTCGGCGGCAACTGTAAGTCCGGCAGGGGCGGAGAGGGAGAGCGGTCGGTGGGCGGCGGCGGCGGCCCACATGGATCCGCAGAGGGCTCCGGCGGCCTCTGGGAGCGGCGTTTCTTCTTCCGCGGCGAAGTTAGAGGCGGCGCTGGAGCGGTTTTGACCGCCTGTAGTCGAGCCCGCAGGGTTGACAGCGGCAGGTCCTCGCAGTGGTCGCATCCTCCGTTGGCGAGGGCGAGTTCTGCGTGTTCCACTCCGAGGCAGAGAGCGCAGATGGGGTGGCGGTCTCCATCCTCGAGCGGAGAGCGGCAAGAGCCGCAGGAATTACGAGGCATCTTTAAAAAGACGCTCGTGCTCTTTTAGCAGGAATAATAAAGAAAGGATACGCGTCGGATGGCGCTAGCTTGCTGGGCGGCTGAAGGTGGCAGACGGCCGGCTTCCTCAGACTCCGGAGCTCGCTAGACGGTGCCTTCTCAACGACGGCGGCTTCTTCCCAGAACAGCGGATGCGTGTAGCTCGCTGAATGAACAAGAATCAACGAACGAGCTGGGAGAGCGACCTTTATACACTGTAGCCACGCCCCTTTTGGCGGGCTGTGACGCAGTAAGCGAGCGCCGTCCGCTCATTGGCCGCGGACTCAGCGCCGCTCTCCCATAGGTTCGTGCATTCTCTCTGAGCGATCCAATGAGCCGCTAGCTAGCCCGCTCATGGTCTGCCTCAGAAGAGACTGCGTTGACAATGATTACAAAATTATGGAATAATTTTTTGGCTTCAACTTCTCAGCAAAGATGAATCTTTCCCGTAGCGTAAGCTAGCTTACGCAATACGAGAGAACCTCTCGTAAGAGAACTACCGGTATGTCAAGTGTGAAAATCCCATGATGACTAGATCCTACACCAGTTTTACCAGATAAAAACGTTTTTTTGTAAGAGTGTGTACTGACCCTCTTCACAGACGCCTTGGATACTCTGTAGAGGTGATTCCTGGCATAACGTCCATTGATCTGATTGAGGGCCATCTGTAGAGCATCATCTGCTTTAGAGCTGAGCTCAAACAGAGGAAGGCCTATGGTTGCACAACAGAGGTCCTGTTACTCGTTTATAAATGTACAAGAATAGTCCCAAACAATTAGTTGTAGGCTTTAAAGTTAAAAGGTAAATGATTTCAAAGATTAAACATTTTATTCATAAAAACAAAGAACCCTGATAGCACATGTCACAGAGACTATGTCTTTAAAATATGTATGATTTATAATGTGTGAAACTGACATATTAAAGACATAATAATAGCAAACAACAGATGCTTTACAGATGGGAGACGTACGTGTGCTATCTGTAGTTGTAACTGTTGACTTTGATTTCAGCAATTGTAAAGTACAAAAAAATGTTAATCAAATACTATATGTCAGTATTACCAAAGTATCATCAGATAATTATTCTTTATGTCTTACCAACGAAATGATGCATGTCACACTCACCTAAACCTCCTAAAACCTGCAGGATCAGATACAGAAAAACACAGCTCTTCATTTTCATCTGTCAGTCAGAGTGGACGCTCTAACCACACAAAGGTTGTTTTTAAACGGTATGGCTTTTAGACCTCCTGCTTTCCTAGTACAAGGCGTTGTTTAATTTGGCATTACTCCTGGTCGTGCACATCTGGATAAAGATGAACTTTGTCGTACAAACTCAATGCTTGTTTTACCCAGAATATGTCCTGATAATCTGATTTAAAAGATGACTATACAATTAACTGTAAAGATGTTGGTCATTTGGAAGAGATGTAGGCCTACTTGTAAAAGCAGTGTAAATTACACAGTGCTATAAAAAATATTCTGGTTGAAAATTATGAGTCCCCTTATAATTTACAGTAAGACAATGTTACAGAAGTTTCTTCATGATGGATTGCATATTTATTTAAATAGTTGATTCTTGTTTATTCATTGTATTATTATGCTTTTCAGTATTATGCATATAGATTAATTTATATTCTGTGATATGAAAAATGAACAGCTGAAATTTGACATTGCAAGAAACACATTTCTGTTACACTTCTTTCTAAACAATAACTAAAAACTGCAGATTTGCCCCCTACTCTTGGAAAAGTGAAATGCAATAGATTATGGCAAAGTAACCATAGCAGGCCTTTAATGTGATCACAGTCTGAAGTTGCATTTCTACTTTGTAAGTCAAAGGGGAGCTGAACAGAGGAATGTCTGGTTCATGACGCTGTCTAGAGGGGTATGTGGCTAGTAAATAATTACAAAGAAGAGCATACTAGGGAGTGAAAAATTCAAAATTTAATGATACATGATATTTGCTTGACAGTGATATGAGCAGACTGATGAACAGCGTACAGACGTCTAATTTTGTCATAAGCAAGAATGAAATCTGCTTTCTTAACAAGTTTTGAACTCCTTATCAAGAGACGAAGAGAAATGGTCAGTGAAGGCTTGACAAGTTAATTTGGTGGTAGATCAGGTTCATGAACCATGAAATATTCATTCACCGACCTTACGGTCTGTTAAACAAAAATTTTGAACTTTTACAGTTTTTTTCTACGAATAATGTGTTCAAAGTTCATTTTGCCAGAGTTTGTGACACCATGTCCCAATAATGAAGGTGTTGCTAAACTATATGCGTACCAACAATGGAATTTGTCATTAACAGCTTGAATGTAAAAATGTAAAAGGCAGAAATATCTTTGGCCAACAAATATTGCAATTACAAAATGATATTATAAATTATAAATTCAAGTTATTCATTGGTAACAATTTATTTTAATGGTCCCTTTTGAACAATCTGTTGGCTTTATGTAACTTGGCAACTACATGTCAACTGTCATTAGAAGTATTAGCAGACTGTCTGCACTTCCCCTGATTAAAAAAAAAAAAAGACTATGATGCTTGAAGCATTCTTACATTTTTAATCACTGATGTTCAGTTGTTTGTAGAAACGGTCTCCATTTTCTCACTGATTTCTATTGGGCTACTCCAGCGTTGAATACCGGAAAATATTGGGTTTATAAGTGTTAATTCTCTGTAATGTTTAATACAACAATTTCTTCCTACGAGTCAGTATCAATATTCATCAGCCAATTCTCAAATACATTTCTAATAAACCATAATACATTTTATAACATGAGATGAATCAGATTACTGCAGGTGGATGAGGCGTCTTTATCATGAGAAAGCTTCCTAAACCTAAATATTAATTATCTAGAGACACATCCAGATTTTGAGCTAAAGAAGAATTCTGTGTAAATGCTCAGAGTTCCCTCCTCCTGTCCCTGGGTAAATGGGCCCTGTTTAATTTGGCCCCTCTCAGTCGCTTTCCTATCTAGTCTAGACAGACACACACCGTTTCCTTACCCAGAATCTGTGCTCCTGGGATGCCTTTTCTGTATAGCAGTTATAATGTAAAAATAATTCTTATCTGTTACAGGAGGTTGAAGAGCAGCATGTGACAATGCTAAGAAATGATCAGAGCTGCCCAATGTAATAACGTGTACAGTATATTAATGTAACAATAAAAAATTGTGTAGGAAAACATCCTGTTATATTTCCAGACCACCATTCATATATAATTTATTGTATTAAAAACAAAAACAATTCAATCAACAAAGTTGAACGTATAATATCCTTCCAAGAGAAATATCACAGTTTTGAACTCTTAATTGTAACTCTCTGAAACCTGTTACAATAAAATAAAAACAAATCTATTATAATTATAAACCATATTAATCATAAATAATGTACATAAACAGATCTGAAGACAAATAAGCATGTGTTTTAAATGAAACAAAATCAACAGCATTACGTTCATCTGCAGAGTGTAACTCTTTTATTCAATGTCACTCTTGCCTTTAAGTTAGCAAAAGGTGGCATCTCACCAGAACCAGCTTTTCCCATGAAGCATCCCTTACTTTAGGGATGTTTCTTAAATAAAGGGCAAATATGACAGGTCAGTACCAATTGCTCCTCTTATGCTCTAGACACGGAATGAATCATAGTCAGCATTGTGGGCCCAGCATTATGGGGAACTAGACTGAACTATATCGCTCTGATTTGCTATAGTCACCAGAACAGAGACATGGTGAGAGTACCATTACCACCTCCTCCATCGCTCTCATAGTCTCAGTGTTGATATTAGAGGCTCCACAGCTGCAAGAAATGAGCCTTCAAACTCCTGGTCTGAGAAGCGGGTGACGGACAGACGAGCCCGGCGTCGAATCTCTAAGCGAGCTGCAGGAGTCATAGAAAGGATTCGTTCCATGGCATCTGCATAGGCGTCTTCATCATCTGCCAGGAAGCCGGTTGGACCGCCATCATAGGGAACTACAATGTCTAACTTCGGACCACCGGATTTGTGAGCCAGAATGATTGTTCCTGCAGCCATACACTCCACTACACCTGCAGAGATATGGGAGAGGATAAGTGTTCTCAGTCTAACAGTCATTTAAATGCAATGCTTCTCGCTTTTAAATAAATAATAATAAATACAAATTATATTAACCATGTAACCGATAGTTAATAAAAATGTTCATGTATCTAATGTTGACTGATGCAACTTTTTACCTTAAAAAATGTCTTAGTGAATGTTGAGATTAACATTAACTAAGATTACAAAATGCTGTTTCGAACTGTTTCAGCTATTGTGCAAATGAAACCTTGAAAAGTGTTACTAAAATAATTTCATAATACATTTCATTAATATCTGGTTGAAAATTTAAATATATGTGCATTTAATACACTTACATTTACTAACACTTACACAAAAATGTATTATTTAATTTATTATTTTGTTACTTGTTCCACAAAGTACATCTGTCTAGTGTTTTGAGAAAGAGCATAATATATTTTATCTTACCAATACCGAAATGTTCATTCCACATTGTGTGCAACCCAATCGTGGCATCTGTTAAATCTTTCTTCAGTTCCTCAAATGGGATATTGAGTTTAAACTCCACCCTGTCTGCAATGCCCAGCTCCTGACACAATCCCCTAAGCATCAGTACTCTGTCTTCATCTTCCTGGTTACGACATCCACCAATCAACACCAGCTTCACAATCTCTCGACCGACAGGCTCCACCCCCTTCCTCTCCAGAAGTTTTCTAAAAGCCCTGATCTGCAGCTGATGGTCTTTTTCAGGCCGGAACTGACCCACAGAGACTACACAGTGACACTTCTTGCGTTCTTTCTCTTCATCCTCTTCTCCAATAGGGATGTCCAAGAAGGCCTGAACGTCGCATGGTGGGTAGACCACATTCGTGCGGTTAGGAGCGCGCCACAGTGCCAGAATGTGACCTAATGTCCAGGTGGAATTCACCATGACCACTTCACTACAAGAGCCGGCAAGACCGTACAGCAGTGCGAAGACACAGTAGTAAATCACTTTGATGGCACTCAGTACAGGGTTACTGGAGATGTAGTCTACATTATTGAACCTAGAATGCACAAATGTAATTACAAATTTATATAAGCCAATAATATACACTATTATACACAACTTTGTTATTGGGGGAAAAAAAAGTCTACTAGCCACCAAGGCTGCATTTCTTTGATCAAAAATATGGTAAAAAAGTAATATTGTGAAAACAATTTACATGACTGTTCAAATCGATCGTAATTTACTGGATAAGGATTAAGGATAATGATTTTTATTTTTTGTACCACAATTTCAAACCGATAAAATATTTTAAACCTTTAGCATAATTATAAAAAAAATATATAGTTATTATAAAAATGGGAATTTTAAGATTTTATTTGCATATCTTTTCCAGCTCTAGAATAACACTTTTATTATTTAACACTTTAACACAAAATTAAGCTTTAACACTTATTTTAAATAATGACATTGTATATTAAGACCCTGTTGTAAGTTGGTTCAGGACTAATGCACTAATTCATAATGTAAAAATATCTTTATTAAGAATGCAAATAGGGTCAGTTTTGAACTAGGATAAAGTCATAATGGAGTTATTTAACCCCTACATCAGCCAAAAACTAAGGTTTTGAATCATTAAAATTTAAACTGTAGAATCATTTAAATTCAGTAATATTGACGACTAACCTTGGGTTTCTTTCTCGAACCACAGACAGCATATCAGTGCTGATGGTTGGGTAGTGCACATAGCTTCCCACATGACATCCACCCAGATAACGGAACACCGGTAAGGTGAAGGCATAGCCCATTGAGTCAATGTAGATGTCTGGAACGAACTCAGTCAATGCCTCCCACCCCAGGAAGATGGAGCCCACGCTCTGCCCCAGAAGGGTGAAGTGTGGGAAGAGTTTTGCCTCCACCAGGAGACGATGTTTCAAGAAGACAAACTTAACAGCTCGGGGGACTCTGATGTTGAAGCGCCGCCGTGCTCCATCTAAAATCTCTTCTGCTGTCACGCCCTGATCACCTGTGTAGACCACGAAGGAAACATCTGGGTACCTATGTAAATATACGGGAATAAAAAAAGGTTTGAATCCTGAAATCGTCTCGGTTACGGATTTAACCCTCGTTCCCTGAGTAGGGAACGGAGACGTTACGTCAGAATGACGGAGAATGGGGGTTTCGCATAGAAAGCCAATCCTCTTCGAGTATTTAACAACGAGCCAATGGCATGAAATGCCTTGGGGCTGCGGAAATTTGCATAGCGTAACTCCGCCCCACCCCGTGGGTATAAAAGGAGGAAGTGAACGCAACCGCAGTATGTCTTCGCTGAGGAGCCGAGACTGAACTCAGGCGTACAGCAGAAATGGCAAGGAGACGTAACGTCTCCGTTCCCTACTCAGGGAACAAGGGTTACATCCGTAACCGAGACGTTCCCTTTCGTGGTCACTCCGAGTTACGTCGGAATGACGGAGAATGGGGGTCTGTGCCATCACGCCATCTTCACAGCTGTCTTCCAGTGCCCTGCGAAAGTCTGGACTCCTGAACTTAACTTATAACCAGGAGTTCCTACTTTAACACAGGAATACCAAGGTACACTGGGAAGCATATCCCGGGAGGGACATGCTACCAAATGCCTACCGTAGGGAGGACTTAAGAATACACATATGGCCGTGTTAGGGACTACATATGGAGATCACTGGAGCACCAACCTAAGGGTGGCTAGAAACTTAGCTCCAGGTGTGGCAGATGGCTTGCCAAGGGAAGACACATGCTCAGAGAGGCTTACAGTGGATAATACACATGTGACAGTTACCATAGGGAACCGTGCACACGGAGGCACCTAGCCGGCACCAGAGCAAGAGCAGTGGTGCCCGCATCAGAAGTGCTGGAGGACTCAGGGCTTCAACGGAAGACTCAACTGAGGAATATTGCACTTATCCAATCCGAGGAGTGGAATGGCGAGCAAGCGAAGACACCTAAGCGGGTCCAGTACTGGCGGGAGTGAGTACGTGAGAGGACACCGGCTCTATTCGCAGATTATAAATTCTTGCAAAGGTGTTTGGTGTCGCCCAGCCTGCAGCTCTGCAAATGTGCTTTAGCGCATGGCGCCTCGCTAACAGACAAGAGGCGGCCACACTCCGAGTGGAGTGGGCCGTCACACCAATGGGGCACGGTCGACCTTGCTGTTGGTAACGATGCCAAGGAGGTGCTGTCGCAAGGAGCATGAGTTCGGAGAACCACGTCTTGGTGGGCCAATAAGGGGCTACCAGCAAGACCTGCTCCTCGTCCTCCTTGATCTTGCACAACACCCGTGCAAGAAGGCTCACTGGGGGAAACGCATACTTGCATGGGCCCCGCGGACAGCTCTGCGCCAGTGCGTCTGTGCCGAGAGTGCCCTCGGACAGGGAATAAAACTGGGCGCAGTGGGATGAGTCCCGAGAGGCGAACAGGTCTATCTGTGCCTCCCCGAACTGGTCCCAAATCAGCTGGACCGTCTGGGGATGGAGTCGCCATTCGGCGGAGATAGGGCGGACCCGTGACAGCTCGTCGGCCGCCAGGTTCCGGTCTCCTGGAATGTACACTGCACGAAGGGACCTCAGGTGCTTCTGACTCCATAACAGGAGGTGGCGAGCGAGCTGCGACAACCGACGTGAGCGTAGACCACCCTGGTGGTTGATATACGCTACCGTAGCGGTATTGTCTGAACGGACAAGTACGTGTTGACCCCTGAGCAGTGCTCGAAAGCGGTGCAGGGCCAGGCGTACTGCCAGCAGCTTGAGGCAATTGATGTGCATGAGGCGCTGGGGTCCTGTCCAGGAACCCGCGGCTGCATGCCCATTGCACATGGCACCCCAACCCGTGGTAGAGGCATCCGTGGAGACGACATGCCTGGAAACTCGCAGCAGAGAGATTCCGGGCCGTAAAAAGCTGAGGTTCGACCACGGGAAGAAGGTCTGGCGGCAAGCTGGAGTCACTGGAACTCGGAGCGAGCCGCGATGCCATGCCCACCTCGGGACTTGATCGCGAAGCCACAGCTGAAGCGGTCTCATATGAAGCAATCCGATGCCGCTAGGTTTGGGAACCAAGAACTGGTTCTTTTCCGGAACCGGTAGTGTTTTTGAAAAAATACCGGAACCGTGCAAAATTCCTAAGTTTCGGTTCCTAAAACGGTTCTGGTGCGATATGAGGGCGTAGTCATGGGAGTAGATTATCCTTTAGCATCTCACCTCAAGGCGCAGACAGAGAGAGAGAGAGAGTAGAGCTGCATGATTAATCTTTAAAAGATTTCGATTCAAACACCTACGCCGTCTTATTCCTAAATGACAAAAACTTCACCACTGAAGTTGCGATTTGCTCTCACACGCGCTGCATTTATAGTACACACACACGCGCGCGCGCCGAGTCACGTATATTCAAATCTGTTTGCGCTGAGAGAGAGAGAGAGCAGTTGTCGATATGAAACTGCTTTATAATCACACAGTATCAATATTTATGTTACACATATTCAAATGATTAACGTTACAGAAGTAGTGAGATTATAGTTTGAGTAAACATTGACGGTAGTAATCAAAACGCAGTCCGTAACTTTTTTGTGTTCAGAATTTACAAAAAAAGCGAGTGCATCGTGAATGTTTTTTTTTTTCAAACCGTGTTTTTGTCTTATCTCGAATCACTACGTAAAGCCCGTAATAAGCGTTAATACTCGGACTTGTTTAGACTGGATGGCGGATCGCAGCCGCTGCGGAGTAGCCCAATGCCTGCGTGACTCGTCATGGACATAAACAGAGAGAAGTAGCTCCGGCAACTATGTTCTTCCGCAAGACGCATGCACTGCAGTTCTGTTTATTAACTGCTATTTAGGGCCGATTTATCCAGTAATAATGCAATAATTAAAGTCTTTATGAATCAACAATTCAAACCGTTTTTAAAAATAATCTGTTCTACACACATATGTGTGTTAAAGCATATTCTACCCCTTCTGAGAGGGTATCACTGTTGGAGATACAATAAAGGACAGGTCCTAAATTATTCTAGAGAATGCAGAATTTTTTAATTTCCTTTTTATTTTTTTTATTTTTTGCAAAAATTTATTAATAATATGTTGAATTTGTTTACATTACCAGTCTGTTAAACTCATTTTTCAAGTACTATAAGAAATAAACACAAAAGGGATTGTGGATTTTTCTCTTACTAATATTTTTTATTGAATGGGAACCGGAATCGTTTGTCGGAACCGGAATCGGAACTGGAACCGGAAAATTTCTCATGATTCCCAACCCTAGTTGCCGCGGCTGCGGAGGCCATATGCCCCAGGAGCCTCTGAAAAATTTTCAGTGGAACCGCACTCTTGCCCTCGAACTGTCGAAGACAAGTCAGCAGTGAGTGCGCGCGCTCATTCGTGAGCTGCGCGGACATGGCGACCGAGTCTATCTCCATACCGAGAAAAGAGATCCTCTGCACAGGGCAAAGTTTGCTCTTCTCCCGGTTGACCCGGAGGCCCAGACGGGCTAGGTGCCGGAGCACCAGGTCTCTGTGTTCGCAAACCTGTTCTCGAGAGTGTGCTAGGATCAGCCAATCATCGAGATAGTTCAGGATGCGAACCCCGTGTTCGCGAAGAGGAACAAAGGCTGCCTCGACGATCTTCGTGAAGACGCGAGGTGACAGAGCTAACCCGAATGGGAGAACCGCGTACTGATATGCCTGGCCCTCGAAAGCAAACCGAAGAAACGGTCTGTGTCGAGGCAAAATGGAGACATGAAAGTACGCGTCCTTCAGGTCTATCGCTGCAAACCAATCCTGGGGCCGGACGCATTCGAAAATGCGTTTGGCTGTGAGCATTTTGAACGGCAATCGATGAAGAGTACGGTTCAAAATGCGCAGATCCAGGATCGGTCATAACCCACCGGTCTTCTTGGGGACGATGAAGTAGGGGCTGTAAAACCCTGACCTCATCTCGGCTGGAGGGACCGTCTCGATTGCACCCTTCGCCAGCAGGGTCGCAATTTCCGCTCTCATGACCGGGGCATTGCCACCGATCACTGTGAAGCAAACTTCCCTGAAACGGTGAGGAGACCGTGCGAATTGAATCGCGTAGCCGAATCTGATCGTTCTGATGACCCAGCGGGACAGGCCGGGGAGCTCTAGCCAGGCTCCCAGGAACTGATCCAGCGGGGTCATGCGAACCACAGATGTCCCCCCAGAGGGGCAGCGAGGCGGGGAGACCGGCATGCGCACAGGAGTTACTCCGTGCGGGTGCACAGTCGATCCCTGTTCCCCGACAGAAGAGACCAGGGAAGGACCAGCGTTCCACGGGGGTCTGTTCTGCCGGGGGTCTGGCGATAGAGGGGGAGGGGAGTGGTGTAGTCGAGGGACGACACATGCTCTCTTCCGCACCCTCAGAGACAGAGACGAATGAGTGGGGCGACGCGCTGTGACGTTGTGTGCACTCATTCCTGTCTGTGTGCTCAGTGATGATGTCAAGTCTTTCTTTAACCAACTCAGGGTGCTGCCCACCCGTGGGTGAGCAGCGGGGAGCTGAGAACAAAAGATTCTCCCCCGGCCCTCCACCGGGGGAAGGAGGGGGCCTGCTACCGCCTCCTGGGAAACACTCGACTTCATCACTGAGCAGCCCGTCTCAGGAACGCCGCTTCGCCTGGCGTTTAGCGGGGTGCGCGGCCTGAGGGGGCTGTGACGCTCTCCTGCGGCCTCCTCCACGACGCGACCCGGATGAAGGCTGCTGCTGGGGCCGCGTGAGAGGGTGGGGAGCCGCAGGGGGGCGTCCTCGGCGGCGAGCAGGCGGAGGCGTCTGAGCCGACGGCTGGGTGGAGGCAGCAGCTGGCCGTCGAGGCAGAATATGTTTGATCGCCTCCGTCTGCTTCTGGGCAGTCGAGAACTGCTGGGCAAAGTCCTCGACTGCACCGCTGAAGAGGCCAACCTGGGAGAGGGGGGCATCGAGCAGACGAGTCCGCTCGGCATCCCGCGTGTCTGCCAGGTTGAGCCACAGATGACGCTTCTGGACCACGCTAGTGGCCATCACCTGACCAAGGGAGCGAGCG